TGTTCTTTTTTCCCCCTCCACCCTGTACTCCCTTTTATTGGGATGTAATCTGGGCGACTGAATGAAGCTGAGCGTTTACTAGCTAGATGCCCTTCCTGACGCCAACACGAGTTCACAACATATATTTTCTCTTTGTGCCTTGATAGAGAAACATCTATCTCTGCCTAGTATTGAACTCTCAACTTCCCAAGTGTGAGATGTGTGAGTGTGAGATGAGTGTCTTCATCTCTAGGCCACCACACTGCTCTGAACCAACCACCCCTATGTTGATCCATACATAGATCCTGTCCCTCTCTTTTTTAAACATCAAAACAGAAGTAGATGTCACATTCACACAGAATAACTCTGCAGGAGGTAGGGACCTAGAGGGCTTTGATTCATAAGACCACAGATTTGGACAGGCATCTAGCAAGTCTGTTTGATTCCATTTTTCTCCTCCATTTCTATAGAAGCTCTATAGTTGCAACTCTACAAACACAATAAATGTTTAATCATATATGGGAAATGTATGGAGGAGAACCAAAGAGAAGAATTCAGAAGTAATTCAATAACAGTAAAAATAAGACAAATGTAATTTTTAAAAAATTAATTGATTTTGGTTGGGATAGAGAATACATATGAAGTGGAATAGAAGAACTATGAGGACAGATTTTATTGGGATAGTAGGGGTTTTTTTTAGAAGCCTAGAGATGTTATATGGCACTAGGTCTGTCTTATCTAACCCATCAGGTTTTGTAGATGTTAATGCAGCATTTACTATCAAATTTTCTGCATTATATTTCTTTGATTTTATCTCCATAGCATATCTGCACACATAAAAACAGGTGTATATTTCTGGAAAATGTTTTGTGTATTTGATAAACAGGGAGCATCAATGGAGTGTGTGAAAAAGTTAAGATGATAGCCACAACTCCATGGTTTAAGCTCCATAACCTTTTATATGTGCTACCATTTTAACCCCTTCTGTTCCCCATGATGCTCCTGTGAACACAATGCTCATCAGTTGCGAAGTTGCCAGAAGCATTTTTGCTTATTTTTATTATGCTACATTGGCTGTAAATCATCCTTTTAAATAAAAATCCCCATAGCTGGGGATTATGATAGCCAAAAATTAACATGAATAGAGAACATCATAATTGGGAAAGATTATTTAAGCAATTAATTTATGGGAAATTAACAAAGAAACAATTAAGAATCCACTAATCCTTCTCTCAACTATATCAACATTTATGCCACTGCTTTGCCCTAACACTTTTAGTTCCATGTTGTTCTCTTCATTCCAGAATTCCTCAGACAGTTTTGCTTCCCTATATTTTTCCATATGGAAATATTAATATATGGAGTATAACTCTCCTTATATTACTTTCTGGAACCTCTTTTTCAATTTCTCCTTTTTTGGTTTGGGTTCCTTTCTCAGAAGTTTTGACTCAGACTGAAGACCGGGCCTGTGAATGGAGTTACGGCTACTACAACACTCTTTCAATGCTTCCAAGCAGGGTTTTGATAATATTTGGGAACATAGTAGAAGGGAAAGTCTAGATATAAAATTCTTTTGCCCAAAAAGGTTGGAACTACCTAAAGATTCATTTCTAAAAAGGATAGGAAATTCAGTATTTTTCCTTACGAATTAAATGGTAAGTAGATTTTTATACAGGAAAATGCGGCAACATGTTTGAAATTTTAAAAGCTATGTTCTACTGAACATCTATGATGCTGTGAATCTCCTTCTTTCTTCTTAAAATCAAATTATTACTCATTTGTGGCACTATAGGCACAATTATTGGACTTTTTAAAGAATAACCTAATCTGGCACCATAATCTGATACTACCATCACTACCACCACTGTTGCTCTAACAGTTATATATCCAATGCTCCATTTCTTCTGTTATTATAATATGGTGTAATGATATACAAATTGCATATAAACACAGTATATACTGGTTCCATTCATTGCTGGGTATCTCCAGGAACAGCAACTGCACTGTAATATATACTGATATAATTGCACCACAAGAACAAAAAGGAGGACATCTTGTAGTATATGGGCATCAGATAATTATCTTGCTAGGTGAACACTATTTATCTGGTCCTAAACTAGAGCTGCTAATAGAGAGAGTCTTATTTTCAAAGCTATGTCAAAGTTTGCACTGTGTTTAGGTATAGATTCTTTTTTCTGTTGTCATAAAACAGACCTACTCCAGCTATCATAAATAAAAACTGGCCAAAGCCAGAAGCTTCATAACAGATACCAGAATAACCAGTTCCCATCATTTATTTTCCTTTTGAATCAACTTTGGTTTCTTTACCACACAAACACTGAAGAGATCATGGCAAGATGCAGTGCTGTTTCATGGGGACAGCTACTCTATGTATTTCTTTTTCTGTGCAAAGAGACCCTATCCTTGGATCATGTTCCTATGCTGCTGTGGTCAACAGATAGGTAAGAAATTCTCTATTTTTTAAAGATCCAGCTATTTTTAGAGATATATTTTGTGCAGCCAGCCTTTCAAGTTCATTTTTACTCCTTACCTGTCATCTCGAAGACAAACCTAAGCACTTTAGAGATCGTATACTTACAAGAATATATTTGGTATGAAGCTTGTCCATCTGGACACAGCATCTGCTTTGTAGTCCACTAGTTTTAGAAATCTGAGTGATGAGTGATTCTCAAGTCTTAACAGATTGACATTTCTTGATCTGAGGGATCCATTTAATAATAATAATAATGATAAAGTTGGAAGGGACCTCGGAGGTCATCTAGTCCAACCTCCTGCTCAGGCAGGAAACCCTATACCATTTCGGACAATTGGCTGTCCAGTTTCTTCTTAAAAACTTCCAGTGTTGGCGCATTCACCGCTTCTGGAGGCAGGTTGTTCCACTGGTTAATTGTTCTAACTGTCAGGAAGTTTCTCCTTAGTTCTAGGTTGCTTCTCTCTTTGGTTAGTTTCCACCCGTTGCTTCTTGTCCTGCCTTCAGGCGCTTTGGAGAATAGCCTGACTCCCTCTTCTTTGTGGCAGCCCCTGAGATATTGGAACACTGCTATCATGTTCCTATTTAGCATCCAGCTGAGACAATTGTATTTAATAGTCTTTGCAAGTTTTCATTCTAAATATCCTTGTTCAGTGTTTTATCTACTGGCACTAGTAGTGGCAGTGACAGTGTATGTGAGGGTTATCTGGAACTGGAAGACATAGCAATTAGGTATTCTTTTAAACTTGTTCTTCCTGATGCTCAGAACATAATGGAAATCTTTGCACTGTTAGTTTAGTGGACTTTCTCAACTATAAACCTAAAAGTTTCCCTGACTCTAAGGCACGGTGCTCATCTCTGTTTCTTGGCCAAGAGAGCCAGTGTTGTCCAAGGATATTTTCCATGGTAATATCCTTGGAATATAGCATGGCTATACGTCAAATGTAATACTGTTCCATATAGCATGGAATACTGTTATCTTCCCACCAAAGTGGTACTTATTAATCTACTTGCATTTGCATATTTTCAAACTGCTAGGTGGGCAGGAGTTGGGGCAAGTAATGGGAACTCACCCCATTGTGCGGAGCTTTGATCTCAAACCTGGGCTGCCAGCCATCCAGCTCATAAGATTAGTATCTTTAATTGCTGAGCCATCACTTCCCAAAGGCTCAGTGATTAAACTATACTCAACTATACCTCTTAGCAAATCCTGATGTGCTGTTCTGTAAACTCAGTCCTAAAATTATTTTTATTGCAGAGTAAGAGTAGGAAATTAATATGTTTTATTTATAATGCATTTTCCCCATTATAAATAAAGTCTGCAATTAAAATCTTTTCCAAAAGACATCATTATTAAATACTTTATAGTAGGAATTATTTCAACTCTTGTCTGTCTTCTGTTCTTATATGACAACTGCTAACCTGGACATCAACATAAACAAGTGGAACAATAACTTTTGCCATACAGAGTGACCTTGAGTATAAATCACAAATTACATAGGTCGTTCAAGTTCTAAAGCAGGCCAGAAATTTGCTCTGTGCTGTTTTTCCTCAACTAATCAGGTACATTCCATCTTCAAACCAGTTTATATTTGGAATATCAGATACCTATTTATAACCTAACAGCTGGAATGTTGAAAACCCAACAGCTAATACTAGTAGGCTTTTGAAAAACACATGAAATGGATAGATTGAATAGGGAGGAAGAAACAGGTACCTGTAAAGTATCTTCTGCATTTAGCTTTGTTGAGAACTACTCAATAAAATATGATAGGGTTCATGGTACTTTCTACCCCAGTGCAATTGTGTAAGGCAAGATTGTCAGCTGCCCATAACACAAGTTTCTATAGCACATGTTTTTTAAAGCCAAATGAAACTCATCAAATGTTGGCTCAACAGACTGGAGACTGGCTCCCCATTTGGGACTATTAGGCTATCAAGTAGAACTTAGATTTAATGGGATTTAATGTTGATCTATCAATTATTTTTAGGATTTCAGACTTTGCATTTTACTGTGCAGCTTTCAGCTAAAAAAAGAGAAGTTCTGCCAAAAGTATGTTGAGATGCATATTTTAGGATAGAATGATAGATGCCTGGAAGCATGTAGTACTGTATGATCAAAAAGAATATTAAAGAATGGAATACTGGAACCAATTTTGGTCACCATACTACAAAAAAGATGTTGAGACATTGGAAAAATTTCAGAGAAGAGCAACTAAAACGATCAAAGGCCTGGAGACTAAAACATATGAAGAACGGCTACAGGACTTGGGTTTGGCTAGTCTAAAGAAAAGAAGAAACAGGAGTGACATGTTATCAGTATTCCAGTATTTGAGGGGCTGTCACAACGAAAAGGGTGTCAAATTATTCTCCAAAGCACCAGAGGGCAAGACAGGAAACTGACCAAATGGTTGGAAACTGACCAAAGAGAGAAGCAACTTGGAATTAAGGAGAAACTTCCTAACAGTAACCAGTGGAACAGCTTGCCTTCAGAAATCGTGGTCACTCCATCACTGAAGGTTTTTAAGAAGAGACTGGATAGTCACTTGTCTGAAATGGTATAGGTTCTTCTACTTGAGCTGGACTAGAATACCTCCAAGGTCCCTTCCAGATCTATTCTATTCTACTTGAATGCATATTGTGAGATCTTACCCATTCAAACATATATGTCTAAACTAGGTATGTAAACTCAAAAATGTTCTATGAATTTATAAAAAAAATATTACAAATTTGTGCAGAAATGGAATAGAATTCACTTGGAAATTAACACAAGGAAGAATGAGATGAGCCAGAAGAATTTAATTTAATTGAATGCATTAGATTTATTATGGTTTTGGGTGTCTTAAAAAAGAACAGTAAAAATCCAAGGATTAAATGACTAGAGCAGCAAATGGAACAAAAATAAAAAGGGGTCCAAACAATAAAATAAAAAAAAAGTTGGTTTGATGTAGTGGTTAAGACTAAGGTTAAAGAGACGGTGGCTGGGTGACAATGGGCCAATCACTCTCTCTCAGCCCAACCTACTTCAAAGGGATGTCTTTGTGGGGTAAACTAAAGGAGGAAAGAGTATTAGATATGTTTTCTGCCTTGAATTATTTAAAAAAGTAATAACTATGGGATAAAAAAAATGAAGAAATAAGTAAATCACAGTCATATTAGCCCCTGGCCTGGAATTGGAGCCACCTTCCAGAAAGTCTTAAAGGCTTCCTGGAACTCAAGGATAGAGAGTGCCATCTGTATCTCTGAAGTATAGTTGATCCAGAGGTCAGGGACCCCCAGAGAGAAGGGATCTGAAGCCCACACAGAATGTATCTGAATGTATCAGGTGAGGAGATTGATATTGATATTGAATTGCTATTCTAGGTGAGCCAAATTCCATTAGTAAAAAAATTGTTATTCCAATGGAATTGTCCATAGAGAGGAAAAAAGTTAGTATGTTAGTAAGTATGGCAACTGTGATTGCATGATCACAAACCTGCCCTTTTAAAATATGTGCCATGCATGCCACACTTTAAATGATGCAGGGCTTCAATCAGCTGATTACAGCTGCCAAACTGATTTTTTTTTTTAATCTTCAATGCAGAAGCCTGCACTCTAGGCAACATGCTAGTTCATCTATATCAGGTATTCCCAACCGGGGGTGTGAGACGATATTCCAGGAGGTGCGAAAACTTGGGTTTAGAAGTTTCAAAATTATAGTGTATATGCACAATTCGTTGTCGTTATTTTGAACTTTTGTAAGGGGTGCAAGAATATATCAGAAGCTTTCTAGGGGTGCGGGGTATAGAAAAGGTTGGGAACCGCTGATCTATATGAATCAGAAACTCCTGGATTTATTCCTTCTATTTTCTTTCTAAACTGAGGAGACTCTACAAAACTCTAGCTCACTAGATTCAGTTTCAGTATTTTGTTTATCTTCATCACTGTTTCTCAACCTTGGCAACTAGAAGCTGTATGGACTTCAACTCCCAGAATTCCAGTCATCATGCTGGCTAGGGAATTCTGGGAGTTGAAGTTCACACTTCTAATTTCCTATAGTGTTACCAGTTGAGAAACACTAATCTACATATTTTTTTTTATCCTCATACAGAAATTTATTATTTATTTAGCATATGGCATATAATACATACGTAGCAATATATACTGTATTAACATATAGAAATGTAAGTATTTTTTAAAGTATGATTCAGTCATACAATATGATTCACTGGAATACATCTCTTATTAAAGATTTAATTGTGAAGCCAAATGCTACCAAATTATTCTAAGTGGAAAAATGTCATCTCTTAATTTTTTTTTTTAAAAAAAACTTACAGGGAGGATAAACTATAAATAGAAAACTCTGATCTTTGTCTCAGGTTTTAACATTTTACAACATACTTGTGAATTAGCATCACAGACTAGCCAGTGTTCTTATTGTTTTTTCTGGCTTTGGATTGTTTGTGTGGAGGCAGTTGGAGAAACGGATCGACAATAGGGCAAATGAAGGCTTTTTAAAAAATTGTCTGCAATAGGCAAGAAGCCAAAGGAGAGTGATAAATGTTTTATGAAGGGCACAGCAAGGGATCAAACTGCTGATCGGAAACTCAGAGGAAAGAGAATGAAGAATTTCAGCCATTTCTTTGCCTTGCTGTAAAATACTGCTAGTATTTACGGTATAAACATTGGAGGGGAATTGTTTAGTCAGCTCATTAGTTAATCATTGCAGAATGTTCTCATCATTTAAAACTGGAGCAGGAAACTAGTTGTTTTCTAGTGCTCTAGTCTAGCCAAATGCTACCAATCTTTAAATTAACTATGTTGGAAAATAGCATCCTTTTAATTTTTTTTTAAAAAGAACAACGCATACAGGGAGGATAAACAAGATACCAAAAGGACAAAAGACTGTAAATACAAAAGCTGCTCTTTGTCTCAGGTTTTAACATTATACAACATATTTCTGAATTAGCATGTATGATCTCACTTTTGAAA